CCCAAAACCCCAAAACCCCAAAACCCCAAAACCCCAAAACCCCGAGATATAATATTTTAATTGAATGAGATTTTAGAACCTCTCTTCACCTTCATCTTCCTCTTCAGTATCATCATCAGCTGTTTGAAGGGTCAATGCTTTGTCCAAATTAGGAGCTATCCTTGGCTTGTCGTGAGGAATCAGAATGTTCTTTTTAGTGCCAAGTAGCAGAGGATTATTGAAGACATACTGTATTCATCTGACAAAGGCTTCTTGAAGCCTAGCCTCGATTGCTTCTCCAAGCTCCTGTCCAATATAAGTCGAAGTTATCCTGGTAAAAACCTCTTCATTAGTTCTAAATTGGTACTTCCATTGTGTTTTGGTCTTCATTTTGTCAAAGATTTCTTTACTTCTGCCTCTCAAGGTTATAAATGAATTTATCATAGCTCTGAAATGCTCTGATGCAAAGAGACCTTCGAACTTAGTATCATTATAACTTTTGGCGTATTTATGGAATTTCTCTCCGAACTGAAATAGACCACTGTTATCAGTAAAAACATTAGAGAAGTTAAGGTTCATGGCCTTGAACATGAATTTAGCCATGGCTATTGAGTCTACCTGTTCGATATAAATTTCTCAGAAGTTGGCCAAGGCTTCAAGAATTGTGTCTGAAGTATGTCTTATAAGTCTTTTGTTAAATAATTTATCATTGTGGTATTTAAATAATTCAAGAAAGAATTTTTTGATGTGCCTAAGAATTTTCCTTCTGTAGATATCCTTTCTCTTGGTTCTACTAGACTTCAAAGGTTTAGGGTAATTTGGTTGAGTTATAATATTAGCTGAGGAGCTAAAATTTTCAATAGGATTAGCACTCTGGAATTCAGATTGAGGAACCTCATCAAACAAGCTCTGAGAATATGCGGTTGATGACAGTAAGCAGAGTTGTTCTGACTTTTCTCCCACATTATAGACTTCTGCTGCTTCATCTGGCTAGTCCTCTTGCTCTGAAGAGTTATACTTTTCATCAGCTAGAATCAAGTCAAGAATAGAAATGAAGTCAACACATTCTGTAAATGGCAATAAAGGGATGCGTTCCTAAAATAACCAATTAGATAAAAAATAAAAGGCCGCTTCATACAAGTAATAATCCCCTCGATCACAAAAATCTATGGTATAAATCTCAAAATTAAGTTTTAGTTATTTTAAGAGCATCTTGATATTTGCATTCAAATATCGTACCTAACCTCTTCCATATCCTCCTATGACACCTAAAATCCTTTCTTAATAACCTCTAAACTCTCTATTTCCCCAAATTTCCCAGTCAGCTCATTTTCCACAGAAAATTGCTTATTTCATGACCCCATTAAACTCACCTAATCTAGCACCTCAAAAGCCCACTTATACCCCTACTTGGCTGACTTCCTGAAATACCATCTTTAGCTTGCTGGTTCCTAACCTGTTTGTTAAATCTAGCATTTCACGAACAAATTAGTATAAAAGGTATTAATATTTCAAGGTTTTAGCTATAGCGTGGGGTTTTGGGGTTTTGGGGTTTTGGGGTTTTGGGG